TCATCATCCTCACTGTGTCACCATCATCATCATCCTCACTGTGTCACCTTCATCATCATCCTCACTGTGTCACCTCATCATCATCCTCACTGTGTCACCATCATCATCATCCTCACTGTGTCACCATCATCATCCTCACTGTGTCACCATCATCATCATCCTCACTGTGTCACCTTCATCATCATCCTCACTGTGTCACCTTCATCATCATCCTCACTGTGTCACCATCATCATCATCCTCACTGTGTCACCTTCATCATCATCCTCACTGTGTCACCATCATCATCATCCTCACTGTGTCACCATCATCATCCTCACTGTGTCACCATCATCATCATCTCACTGTGTCACCATCATCATCCTCACGGTGTCACCATCATCATCATCCTCACTGTGTCACCATCATCATCATCCTCACTGTGTCACCATCATCATCATCCTCACTGTGTCACCTCATCATCATCCTCACTGTGTCACCTTCATCATCATCCTCACTGTGTCACCATCATCATCCTCACTGTGTCACCATCATCATCATCCTCACTGTGTCACCATCATCATCATCATCACTGTGTCACCATCATCATCCTCACTGTGTCACCATCATCATCATCCTCACTGTGTCACCATCATCATCCTCACTGTGTCACCATCATCATCATCCTCACTGTGTCACCATCATCATCATCCTCACTGTGTCACCTTCATCATCATCCTCACTGTGTCACCATCATCATCATCCTCACTGTGTCACCATCATCATCATCCTCACTGTGTCACCATCATCATCATCCTCACTGTGTCACCTTCATCATCATCCTCACTGTGTCACCATCATCATCATCATCCTCACTGTGTCACCTTCATCATCATCATCCTCACTGTGTCACCTCATCATCATCATCCTCACTGTGTCACCTTCATCATCATCATCCTCACTGTGTCACCTTCATCATCATCATCCTCACTGTGTCACCATCATCATCATCATCCTCACTGTGTCACCATCATCATCATCATCCTCACTGTGTCACCTTCATCATCATCCTCACTGTGTCACCATCATCATCATCCTCACTGTGTCACCTTCATCATCATCCTCACTGTGTCACCTTCATCATCATCCTCACTGTGTCACCATCATCATCCTCACTGTGTCACCATCATCATCATCCTCACTGTGTCACCTTCATCATCATCCTCACTGTGTCACCTTCATCATCATCCTCACTGTGTCACCTTCATCATCATCCTCACTGTGTCACCTTCATCATCATCCTCACTGTGTACCATCATCATCATCATCTCACTGTGTCACCTTCATCATCATCATCCTCACTGTGTCACCATCATCATCATCATCCTCACTGTGTCACCTCATCATCATCATCCTCACTGTGTCACCATCATCATCATCCTCACTGTGTCACCTTCATCATCATCCTCACTGTGTCACCTTCATCATCATCCTCACTGTGTCACCATCATCATCATCCTCACTGTGTCACCATCATCATCCTCACTGTGTCACCATCATCATCATCATCCTCACTGTGTCACCATCATCATCATCATCCTCACTGTGTCACCTTCATCATCATCCTCACTGTGTCACCATCATCATCATCCTCACTGTGTCACCATCATCATCCTCACTGTGTCACCTTCATCATCATCCTCACTGTGTCATCATCATCATCCTCACTGTGTCACCTTCATCATCATCCTCACTGTGTCACCATCATCATCATCCTCACTGTGTCACCATCATCATCATCCTCACTGTGTCACCATCATCATCCTCACTGTGTCACCATCATCATCCTCACTGTGTCACCATCATCATCCTCACTGTGTCACCATCATCATCCTCACTGTGTCACCATCATCATCCTCACTGTGTCACCTCATCATCATCCTCACTGTGTCACCATCATCATCCTCACTGTGTGTCACCATCATCATCATCATCATCATCCTCACTGTGTCACCATCATCATCATCATCATCATCATCCTCACTGTGTCACCATCATCATCCTCACTGTGTCACCATCATCATCCTCACTGTGTCACCATCATCATCATCCTCACTGTGTCACCATCATCATCCTCACTGTGTCACCTTCATCATCCTCACTGTGTCACCATCATCATCCTCACTGTGTCACCATCATCATCATCCTCACTGTGTCATCATCATCATCCTCACTGTGTCACCATCATCATCATCCTCACTGTGTCATCATCATCATCCTCACTGTGTCACCATCATCATCCTCACTGTGTCACCATCATCATCATCCTCACTGTGTCACCATCATCATCATCCTCACTGTGTCACCATCATCATCATCCTCACTGTGTCACCATCATCATCCTCACTGTGTCACCATTCATCATCCTCACTGTGTCACCTTCATCATCATCCTCACTGTGTCACCTTCATCATCATCCTCACTGTGTCACCATCATCATCATCCTCACTGTGTCACCATCATCATCATCCTCACTGTGTCACATCATCATCATCCTCACTGTGTCACCATCATCATCATCCTCACTGTGTCACCATCATCATCATCACTGTGTCATCATCATCATCCTCACTGTGTCACCATCATCATCATCCTCACTGTGTCACCATCATCATCATCCTCACTGTGTCACCATCATCATCATCCTCACTGTGTCACCATCATCATCCTCACTGTGTCACCATCATCATCCTCACTGTGTCACCTTCATCATCATCACTGTGTCATCATCTTCATCATCCTCACTGTGTCATCATCATCATCCTCACTGTGTCACCATCATCATCATCCTCACTGTGTCACCATCATCATCATCCTCACTGTGTCACCATCATCATCCTCACTGTGTCACCTTCATCATCATCCTCACTGTGTCACCTTCATCATCCTCACTGTGTCACCATCATCATCATCATCATCATCATCCTCACTGTGTCACCATCATCATCCTCACTGTGTCACCATCATCATCATCCTCACTGTGTCACCATCATCATCCTCACTGTGTCACCATCATCATCATCCTCACTGTGTCACCATCATCATCCTCACTGTGTCACCTTCATCATCCTCACTGTGTCACCATCATCATCCTCACTGTGTCACCATCATCATCATCCTCACTGTGTCATCATCATCATCCTCACTGTGTCACCATCATCATCATCCTCACTGTGTCACCATCATCATCCTCACTGTGTCACCTTCATCATCCTCACTGTGTCACCATCATCATCATCCTCACTGTGTCACCATCATCATCATCCTCACTGTGTCACCATCATCATCCTCACTGTGTCACCATCATCATCATCATCACTGTGTCACCATCATCATCTTCACTGTGTCACCATCATCATCATCATCATCACTGTGTCACCATCATCATCTTCACTGTGTCACCATCATCATCCTCACTGTGTCATCATCATCATCCTCACTGTGTCACCATCATCATCCTCACTGTGTCACCATCATCATCCTCACTGTGTCACCATCATCATCATCCTCACTGTGTCATCATCATCATCCTCACTGTGTCATCATCATCATCCTCACTGTGTCATCATCATCATCTTCACTGTGTCACCATCATCATCCTCACTGTGTCATCATCATCATCCTCACTGTGTCATCATCATCATCATCCTCACTGTGTCACCTTCATCATCCTCACTGTGTCATCATCATCATCCTCACTGTGTCACCATCATCATCATCCTCACTGTGTCACCATCATCATCATCCTCACTGTGTCACCATCATCATCCTCACTGTGTCATCATCATCATCCTCACTGTGTCACCATCATCATCATCCTCACTGTGTCACCATCATCATCATCCTCACTGTGTCACCATCATCATCATCCTCACTGTGTCACCATCATCATCTTCACTGTGTCACCATCATCATCCTCACTGTGTCACCATCATCATCCTCACTGTGTCACCTTCATCATCCTCACTGTGTCACCATCATCATCCTCACTGTGTCACCTTCATCATCATCCTCACTGTGTCACCATCATCATCCTCACTGTGTCACCTTCATCATCCTCACTGTGTCACCATCATCATCCTCACTGTGTCACCATCATCATCATCCTCACTGTGTCATCATCATCATCCTCACTGTGTCACCATCATCATCATCCTCACTGTGTCATCATCATCATCCTCACTGTGTCACCATCATCATCCTCACTGTGTCATCATCATCATCCTCACTGTGTCACCATCATCATCCTCACTGTGTCACCATCATCATCCTCACTGTGTCACCATCATCATCATCCTCACTGTGTCATCATCATCATCCTCACTGTGTCATCATCATCATCCTCACTGTGTCATCATCATCATCTCACTGTGTCACCATCATCATCCTCACTGTGTCATCATCATCATCCTCACTGTGTCATCATCATCATCATCCTCACTGTGTCACCTTCATCATCCTCACTGTGTCATCATCATCATCCTCACTGTGTCACCATCATCATCATCCTCACTGTGTCACCATCATCATCATCCTCACTGTGTCACCATCATCATCCTCACTGTGTCATCATCATCATCCTCACTGTGTCACCATCATCATCATCCTCACTGTGTCACCATCATCATCATCCTCACTGTGTCACCATCATCATCATCCTCACTGTGTCACCATCATCATCCTCACTGTGTCACCTTCATCATCCTCACTGTGTCACCTTCATCATCATCCTCACTGTGTCATCATCATCATCCTCACTGTGTCACCACCATCATCCTCACTGTGTCACCTTCATCATCCTCACAGGGATAAACGTCAGCTTGTGTTTGAATAATGAATCATCACACTGACTGTATGAGAAGCCCTTTAATGTCGCTGAGACAGCACATTGGAAAACAGGATTAAATTCACTCACACACACACACACACACACACACACACACACACACACACACACACACACACACACACACACACACACACACACACACACACACAGTCTCATGTTGCTCGGCGAGTCTCAAACAGGATCTTCTTGAAGGCCCTCCTGAAGTCTCGGTTGAACACCGTGTAGATGACGGGGTTCAGGCAGCTGTTGCAGTATCCGATCCAGAAGAAGAGGTTGAAGAGCGAGTCGGGGATGACGCACTTCTCCCTGCACACGGCGTGCAGACTGTACGTGAAGAAGAACGGGAACCAGCAGAGCACAAACACGCCCATCACCACGGCCAGCACGAAGGTGAAGCGCTTCTCCCTCATCTGAGCGACTTTGTGTCGGGACAGAGAAGCCCGTCTGCTGCGGGGCGGCTCGGGGGAGGGGAGGAGGAGGTGGTGGGAGCAGGTGTCGGAAGAAGCCCAAGATATGGAGGTGCATGACGGAGGAGGAGGAGGCTTCAGTCTGTCTGTCGTCCCCTCTGACTCCTTCCTGTCCTCTGTTTTAGCTCTTCCTGCCCCGGGTCTCCTGGGGAAGCGCAGGGCGGAGGAGGAGAAGGAGGTTTTAACTTCACAGGTGTTCTCCTCCAGGTGGATCTCGTCCAGATCTCCTCGTGGGCTGCTGCTTTCCACGTTGGACGAGCTGAGTCTGTCTGCCGGCCGGGGGCTTGCCAGCTCGTACGGGGATCTGTCGCAGACGCCCCTCTTCCTGCGGAAGGTCCTGGCAGCGCCGATGAAGCAGGTCTCCGACTGCGACGGCTGCCGCTCCATCACGGGCCTCGCCACAAACACGGTGGAGGCTCTCTGCTTGGCCACACGATAGATCTTACAGTAAACGAGGATCATGATGACGCCCGGGGCGAAGAAAGAGACGAGGCAGGAGGAGAGGATGTACCACGTCTGGTTCATGAGGAGACACTCCTGCCTGCTCATGTTCTCTTCCTTCATCTCCAGAGCCTCCTGCTGCTGCGTCATGAGGAGCGGCGGGGACGAGATGACGATGGAGATGAGCCACACGATGCTGATCATGGCTTTGATCCGTTTGGGCGTTCGTTTGCGATTGTAGCTGACGGCCTTAGTGACTGACCAGTAGCGGTCGAGGCTGATGGCGCAGAGGTGCACGATGGAGGAGGTGCAGAAGAGGACGTCCAGAGCCAGGTAGAAGGAGCACCAGGTGGAGCCAAAGTACCAGTAACCCATCACCTGGAGGGAGTAGACACCACGGGACGTGATTCATTCATGCAGCAGAGTGACACACACAGTTTCTCTCAGAGGATTATTTCACCTCTCAATATACATTCAGTCAATATCTCATCATGGTCACATCGGAGATCGTGTGTGTGTTTGTGTGTGTGTGCGCATGTGTGTGTGTGTGTGTGTGTGTGTGTGTGTGTGTGTGTGTGTGTGTGTGTGTGTTGTGTGTGTGTGTGCGTGCGCGTGTGTTTGTTTGTGTGGAGCAGCTAACTGGTGTGGAGCAGCTCACTGGTGTGGAGCAGCTAACTGGTGTGGAGCAGCTCACTGGTGTGGAGCAGCTCACTGACTGGTGTGGAGCAGCTCACTGGTGTGGAGCAGCTAACTGGTGTGGAGCAGCTCACTGGTGTGGAGCAGCTCACTGACTGGTGTGGAGCAGCTAACTGGTGTGGAGCAGCTCACTGACTGGTGTGGAGCAGCTAACTGGTGTGGAGCAGCTAACTGGTGTGGAGCAGCTCACTGGTGTGGAGCAGCTCACTGGTGTGGAGCAGCTCACTGGTGTGGAGCAGCTCACTGGTGTGGAGCAGCTCACTGGTGTGGAGCAGCTCACTGGTGTGGAGCAGCTCACTGACTGGTGTGGAGCAGCTCACTGGTGTGGAGCAGCTCACTGACTGGTGTGGAGCAGCTAACTGGTGTGGAGCAGCTCACTGGTGTGGAGCAGCTCACCGATGTGGAGCAGCTCAACTGGTGTGGAGCAGCTAACTGGTGTGGAGCAGCTAACTGGTGTGGAGCAGCTAACTGGTGTGGAGCAGCTTCCTCAGAGACTGAGTGCATATGATGATCTGGTATGTACAGTCGTCAGGATGAGCCAAAGAGCAGACAGATCAGACAGTCTACAGTAAGAGGCTTTGAGTTAAAGGGGTTAAGGTCGAGAGGTTTGTGATTCCTGCGTACGTGCATTCAGTTATTTCTTTGAATGTAATCTTGCAATGGGATTTGCCTTCAAGAATGTCTTTCTTATTTATTTATTAACTTATTTATTTATGACTGCTTCATATCTTTGCCCGCCCCCTTGTTTGAGTCATTTCCCAAAGGGGCCACACAAAGGTGTCAGCGAGCATTTCCATCTGTACTGGTTTGTTTGTTGTCTCTGACCTCCTCTGTCTGTTGTTTGTTTGTTTGTTTGTTTGCGCTGTCCAGCTGGACTTTGGAGCCGAGTTGCCCTCTTGGATACATGAAGTCTAAACATATAAATATAAAACAATGTCAGAGGCAAAACGTCTCCTCACTTCACACCAAACTGTCGGGGAAACTGATCGATCACACGGTAACCTCACCTCATTGGCTAAAGAGAAGGGGATGACCAGCGTGGCCACCAGGATGTCGGCTGAAGCCAGAGACACCAGGAACAGGTTCTGAGGCGCCCTGAGGGCTCGGCTGGTGAACACCGCCACCACCACCAGCACATTCCCCACCACCGTCCCCAGGATGATCACCGTGACGACCAGCAGGATGAACACGGACGCCACCTGGGAGTGAGGAGGGAGAGGAGGAGACCTAGACGAGGAAGATGACGTCTGGTTCTCCAGAGAAGAGTTTGTGGCCGAAACCGGAGCAAATACATCCAAGAAGTCCATCCTGGTTAAACCTCGGACATTATGATCCCATTTTAAGTTTTCCCTCCAGAGCAGACGGACAGAGAGTCTTTATGACCGCTGGCCGGAGAGCGACAGAAAGTATAATAATGAGATGAGTGAAAGAGCTTCTTAAAAACGGTCTCTCTTTGGTTACTGAACATATTTAATCCTCAACATCTTCAAAATATCAGATGAGCATGTCTGTGAAACTCAGAGTATTTTATCAGTCAACCTCTTTTTGCCTTCACTGCAACCGTCTGAAAGAGGGATTTATATGATTCAAGTTAGGATTAAAATATCCCTCTATTAGATCCCAGAGGTTAACGAATGCTGTCGGAGCCTGAAGCCGAGTCCGATCATCAAACAAGAGAAGCATCGTCTGTACACACGCTGGAGTAGTTGGAGGACAGAAAGCCTGTTTGAAAGGCAGCTGACCCTCAGACTGCTGCACTCGAAACAAAAGACGGGAAAGTGGAGCAGAGACGATGGAATTAAGATGACCGGGAACAAAACACTAAAAGGAGAGAAGATGACTGCAAAGGAAGAGGAATCCTCACTTTCAAACGAGTCGACACCGTGCAGAGTAACACCGCTGATGCTTACTGATGCTCTGCTGGAGGGAGAGGAGAGAGAGGAGGAGATGATGAGAGAGAGAGAGAGGGAGGGGGGAGGGAGAGAGGAAGAGAGAGAGGAGGAGATGATGAGAGAGAGAGAGAGGGAGGGGGAGGGAGAGAGGAAGAGAGAGAGGAGGAGATGATGAGAGAGAGAGGGAGAGAGAGAGAGAGGGAGAGAGGGAGGGGAGGGAGAGAGGAAGAGAGAGAGGAGGAGATGATGAGAGAGAGAGGGAGAGAGAGAGAGAGGGAGAGAGGAGGGGGGAGGGAGAGAGAGAGAGAGGAGGAGATGATGAGAGAGAGAGGGAGAGAGGGAGGGGAGAGGGAGAGAGAGAGAGAGAGAGGGAGAGAGAGAGGAGGAGATGATGAGAGAGACAGAGAGAGAGAGGGAGGGAGGGAGGGGAGGGAGGGGGAGAGGGAGAGAGAGAGAGAGAGAGAGGGAGGGAGGGAGCAGGAGATTGGAGAGTCAAGGATGAGAGAAAGTTGTTGGACTGAAGAGGAGGACATAAAAAGGAGGAGGAGGAGAGGAAACGAGAGAGGGTAAAGAAAGGAAAAAGACGAGAGAATAGGAGGAATGAGGAGATGGAAGAGGAGAGAACCAGAAAAAAAAGAGGAGGGGGAGGAGAAGGAGGATAGGTTAAGAAAGAAGAGATTCAACAGTATGATAGTTGGAGGCGGAAAGACAAGGAGGTACAGGAGCGGAGAGGTAAATGAAGCAAAGGGTGGAGAAGATAAGAGAGGCAATGGAAGTGAAGAAAAAGGAAGAGAGAAAATAACTGAATAAAAAAGGATAGAGAGGAGGAGAAAGAAAGGAGAGGAAACAAGGATGGAGAGGAGAAAGAAAGGAGAGGAAGCAAGGATGGAAAGGAGGAGAAAGAAAGGAGAGGAAACAAGGATAGAGAGGAGGAGAAGAAAGGGGAGGAAACAAGGATGAAGAGGAGGAGAAAGAACGGAGAGGAAACAAGGATCGAGAGAAGGAGAAAGAAAGGGGAGGAAACAAGGATGAAGAGGAGGAGAAAGAAAGGAGAGGAAACAAGGATCGAGAGAAGGAGAAAGAAAGGGGAGGAAACGAGGATAGAGAGAAGGAGAAAGAAAGGAGAGGAAACAAGGATAGAGAGAAGGAGAGAGAAGGAGAAAGAAAGGGGAGGAAACAAGGATAGAGAGAAGGAGAAAGAAAGGGGAGGAAACGAGGATAGAGAGAAGGAGAAAGAAAGGAGAGGAAACAAGGATAGAGAGAAGGAGAGAGAAGGAGAAAGAAAGGGACCCCACATTATTGATTCTGGCTGAATTCTTGGACATCTGAATCTGTCTCTATCACCACATGATGATAAAACGATGTTTCACACAATGTAATTTGTTTTCATCACCCTGTTCATTTTGCAAACATGTAGTCATGAATATCCTAGGTGAGGTGAAAAAAAAAGAAAAAGCTTACAGCACATGGTATTCCCAGGCGGTCTCCCATCCAAGTATTAACCAGGCCCGACCCTGCTTAGCTTCAGAGATCGGACGTGTACTCCCCAAGAGGCAGGGATGGGTAAGGTGGGGGACTTTAAGGGCAATGTGGGCTGCTGGTATGAGAGCACACTCCTCTTTTGTGCTAAGCCAAAAACTGTCTCAACAAGGGTCTTCTCTTCACTGATTCCCATAGTTGCTGCTTAAGGTTTCTGTGTAATGTTGAAGTCTTTGTATGTGTCTTCAATATGTAGCAAGGAGAGGTCAAGTGGGTCCCCACCAAGCCCATGGAGAGTGTATTTCTGTGAAAGAAAGCAGTAGTGTTAGGCATCCCGTCATGCTGTGACACACAAGTAAATAAGTAGGAAAAACTGCATATTGTGCTGACACCGATGAAAACTATATACATGTAACCAATTTATATATTGTATATTATTGTGTATATATATTATATATGAGTGTGTGTGGGTGGTTTCCAGCTTTACTGTAGTTCAGTAATGGGATATTGTGCTACTTTACCTCAGAAGTCCACAAGAGGGCGGTGTTTAACCAAGTTCACACAGTCTGTTGCAGAAATCATTCTAATATTCTCACTGATCTTTTAAATGTGCAAAATGAATGAACTGCTGTCCTCTAAATCAGGAGTTCTCAACCTTTGCCACGCCATGGAGGACCGCACACCGCAGGGGTCATGAACTACATTTGTACAAGGGCCAACTTTTTTCCTGACGGACATTGTGGGGGCCGGACTGCAAGTCCAATGTGTAGAAGTTGGTGCCAGAGGATAATGTAAATTGTCCCAGCAACCTTGCAAGTATTTCAGCCTTGGGATTTTATTTCTATGTTTATTGTTTAATCACCTGATAATGATTTGCATTTTGGGTTTAGTGTTAATAAATCAAACGTGAAGCAGCTTCTGAATCTGCTGCACGTTTCATTTCGTTTCAGTCGTTGAGGTACAGAATACTTCAGCTGTGCCTGATAATGATTTTCATTTTTCAGAAAGTTGAATGTTTCTTACACAAAAAAACCTCAACATCCAATACATTCGATCATTTTGTTGTATGCAGTAATGCAAACCCAGTGGTTTCTGATCTGCAGACAGCGATGGTCTATTATTTGGTAAGATAAACTTGTTGTGAAAGAAGCCTCCCTGTTTCTTTCTCTGTAATAAACAACGTTGGTCAACATGTCCCTATTGGACCTCCGTGATAGACTAAAGAGACTCAAACAGTATGTAGGAAGTTTTTTCTGTGAAGTTTGTCATCATCTTTTTGTTTTTGTTTGCAGCCCTGAAAAACAGTCATCCTGAGCATGTAGGTGGCACGCCTTAGCATCAGATTTAATGTAGCGCAGCTCACGTCTCCTCTTCCCCCCGACAGAAAGCCGGTGCTGTCTCTTGAGATGAAGGACTGTGCACAGTGACCAGAGGTGTCAAGCAACTAAGTACAAATACTTTGTTACCTTACTTAAGTAGAAATTTTGGGTATCTATACTTTACTTTTCTATTTTTCAGCTGACTTTTTACTTCTACTCCTTACATTTTAAAAATAGCCTCGTTACTCCTATTTCATTTCGGCTTGTCATCATTCAAAAAAACAAAAAAACAAACAAAAAAAAACCTATCCAGATAAATCGGGCCATCCGGATAGAGTGAATTTGACCATACAAGGGTAATTGTTACTAAGCCTGCCCTGGGGTACACCAATTTTCATTCCTGCAGCTAAGCTTGGATGTACATTTACATTCCAATAAAGGCTATTGATAACATGCCTCTGAAGTTTGACTTTTTGCACCATTACAATACTTATTGGCAACTAGTCATCATATCTTTCATAAATGAAAGCTGTTCTTAAACCGTTTAGATAACAAGTACAACAAAGGTCTTTTTAGAAAGCTGAGTAAAATGATAAAGGTATCTTACTATATGATCAGACATTAAGGAAACATGCTATGTTGAAGTGCTTCTCTGACAACAATGCAGCAGTCAGTATGTCCTCCTTCTAACTTTAGATTCTGCTCCTGAATGCTCTGGATTTGTTCGGACCAGAGAAGGTAGGCGGTTTTAAGGCACCCCCACATGGCCGTTTTGGACGCCCCTCGGTTTGCCAGATATGAGAGCAGTTATCAGGTCAACAGGTGTTGCAGCGATGGAAGCGGGTAAGAGAAGTGGTTCAGATAGAAGTGATTGTACCCGACCTAAAAAGCCTCTGCATGTTTCTAATAAGCTCCACGAGCAGAAACGAGCTCAAACTAGGATCAATATTGGAGATGCTTTTGAAAAATGGAGAGAGGTTAGAACACAGAAAGGTTTACAGACCGATGCAGAGCTGGATAAACACTGAAGCTTCAGAGTCCACCACATGGTGACCTGAGTGAGCATCGACTCTAGAGAGGAGTGGGGGGAGACAGCTCTCTACAATTGTTAGAATTTGATTAGATAATCCTTTATTGATCCCCAGCAAGAAGAGCGTGTATATGAATGCAAATAAAATAAGAATATATATAATAAAATAAAGATAAAGTACTATGTATTTACAACTATTACCGTATAAGCAAGTAGCCTATTAAGTAAACTATACACCAATTAAGATCTTAACTATACACTAAAAAAATATACAGGACACTGAGACATATTACGTGGCAAGTTGAAGTTAAAGTGACCAGTTATGAGTCTGATGGCGGTAGGCAAAAAAAGGTGCGCCTGATGCGCTCAGTTTTGCATCTGGGGGGTGAGACGATGGCTGAAGGAACTGCCCATGTGCCACAGCTCATCATGGAGAGGCTGAAACAAGTTGTCAAGAATGGCTGTGATTTTGTCCCTCATCCTCCTCTCAGCCTTCCTCACCAGCGTGTTGAGCCTGCTGACCTCACCAGTTTTAATGCCACCCCACCAGCACACCACAGCAAAGAAGGTAATATTTTGTCTTGGCCGTTTTCGGGCTGGAGAATAATGAGACAAGTCTTTGCTTACAGTCATTCAAGTAAGTGGACTGTTTGGATTTTTGCCACTGTCTCTCTGCTGCCCTCAGCCCTGCTCTTTGCTCTCTTAATAAATCAATAGGTTTTGCGAGCGGGTTCGTTCTTGAGCTTAATGTCATAACAGGCCAGGGTCTTCATCATTTTATGTTACTGAAGATGAAAATCATTTGATGTGACAACGGCTTGAGGTGAGACTACATTCTAATATGTATGTCATTTATTATGTGTGTGCTGCTGCCCTCTTAGCCAGGGCACCCCTGAAGATATCATGATCTCAATGGGTTAATCACCTGGTTGAATAAAGGTGAAATAAAAACTACATGGGCTTACGGTTTTGTACTTTCAGCAGAACATTACAGAATTGAACTGGACTGAACTTCAAGGTTAGTCTAAATGACTGTGTCAAACTAGAGTGGTTTTCACTGTTATTATTTGAATAAACGACTGGTAATGGGCTTATTGGTAGAGTCAGTTGTCTCTCAACCGCAATGTCAGGGGTTTGATCCCCAGCTCTTGCAGACCCATGTCTGATGT